ATGCCTGGACGTCAGGAACCTCAGACTATTTGCCATTTTTTGATAAAAGTTATCTAGGTCTCGTGGGATGGAGAAATCAAAAGTGCCATTTTCTGGCCACTTATAACAATTGTTGAGTTCGTACTGGGGCCAAGCGGTGTTGCAGAAGAAAATAAGACACTAGATTTTAGGTCAGGCAAGAGTTGAAAAGGTTTTAAGTTCTTGAGAACACAGGTTAAGGGAGAAGAAGGGGGACTGGAAGGTAGAAGGTTGCCCATAGTGAAGGAGGCAAGTTTAAAGAGAAGGGTAGAGACACGGAGAGAAGGGGTGGGGAGCAGCCCTGGGCTGCAACGTGGGTGAGCAGCCAAAGCAGGGGTCCCCGCAATTGACTTGCCACCAAGGGAATGTGGGTGAATGACCAAGGCAAACGTCCCCACAGAGATCAGACACCAATGGAACGTGAGTGAATAATCAGAGAGGCATCCCCGCAATGATTAAACACCAAGGGAAGGGTGCCTTCTCGAGTTTGTGATCGGCACCGGAGTTTTGGGCCCACAGATAAAATGTGTCATCTTTCTCTCTACCAGAAAATGAAAGGAACTGAAATTAAGAGAAGGGAGAGATTGAAGGGTAGCACCAAGATTGAAAGGAGAAAGAGGTTGAGGGATAGTGAGAGAGGTTGGAGAAGAGAGTAAAAAGAGGCCACTTTCCCCAATTTAAAATCAGTGAAGTGTTCCTTGGGCTGGTTGGTCAGAGGACCCGTCGTAGGTGGATCTCTTCACGGAGTGAGGGTGAGGACAGGGGACTGGTCTCTCGAAGGAGTCCCGCTGTCCCGGGTTTCGGCACCAAATGTCTCACATGTACGTGTGAAGAGACCACCAAACAGGCTTTGTGTGAGCAACAAGGCTGTTTATTTCACCTGGGTGCAGGTGGGCTGAGTCCAAAAAGAGTCAGCAAAGGGTGGTGGGTTATCATTAGTTCTTACAGGTTTTGGGATAGGTGGTGGAGTTAAGAGCAATGTTTTGGGGACCGGGGGTGGATCTCACAAAGTATATTCTCAAGGGTGGGGAGAATTACAAAGAACCTTCTTAAGGGTAGGGGAGATTTTAAAGAACCTTTTTAAGGGTGGAGGAGATTACAAAGTACATTGATCAGTTAGGATGGGGCAGAAACAAATCACAGTGGTGGAATGTCATCAGTTAAGGTTATTTTCACTTCTTTTGTGGATCTTCAGTTGCTTCAGGCCATCTGGATGTATACGTGCAGGTCACTGGGGATATGATGGCTTAGCTTGGGCTCAGAAGCCTGACAGGATGTATGTCATTAGGTTTTGGTTCCAAGAATGTGGGTATAAATATCTTCATCATTAAATTCCCAAAGCATCCCCTTATGCAGTACTGGCAGCAATATCTTTCCCAGCCAAGTACTTTATCAGGACTGGTAGCAGCAGATGGCCAAATGTTTTTGTTTTATTTTGTTTTCTCTCTGGTGCCATTGCCTAAAAAACCAGCCCATTGATCTGAGGATGAAGCAATCTTAATGGAGTTTGGGTAAATTAATGCTAAATTTAGGTAAATCTAAACATTTCCTTAATCTTTTTGGGAATTCACTTTGTAGCATCTTTTCTTTGAGAGACAAGTTCTCCCTCTGTTGCCCAGGCTGGAGTGTAGTAGCATAATCACAGCTCACTGCAGCCTCGACCTCCTGGGCTCAAGCAATCCTCCCCCCTCAACTTCCTGAGTTGCTGGGACTACAGGTGCATGCCACCATGCCCGGCTAATTTTTTAATTATTTATAGAGATGGGGTTTCACTATGTTGCCTAGGCTGGTCTTGAGCTCCTAGGCTCAAGTGATTCTCCTACCTTGGCCTCACAAAGTGTTGGGATTACCTGGCTGGTAATACCTTTTAAACCAACTCGTTTAAATCACCGTTTCTTTTTTCTTTTTTTTCTTTTATTTTGAGACAGAGTCTCGCTCTGTCACCTGGGCTGGAGTGCAATGGCACGATCTTGGCCCATTACAACCTCCGCCTCCCAGGTTCAAGCACTTCTCTTGCCTTAGCCTCCTGAGTATCTGGGACTACAGGCACGTGCTGCCATGCCCAGCTAACTTTTGTATTTTTAGTGGAGACAGGGTTTCACCATGTTGGCCAGGCTGGTCTCGAACCCCTGACCTCCAGTGATCCACCTGCCTTGGCCTCTGAAAGTGCTGGGATTACAGATGTGAGCCACCGCACCCAGCCATACTCTTTTAAAAATGATGACATGATTGTATATTTAGAAAACCCCATCGTCTCAGCCCAAAAATCCTTAAGCTGATAAGCAACTTCAGCAGAGTCTCAGAATACAAAATCAATGTGCCAAAATCACAAGCATTCTTATACACCAATAACAGACAGAGAACCAAATCATGAGTGAACTCCCATTCACAATTGCTTCAAATAGAATAAAATACGTAGGAATCCAACTTACAAGGGATGTGAAGGACCTCTTCAAGGAGAACTACAAACCATTGCTCAGCGAAATAAAAGAGGAAACAAACAAACGGAAGAACATTCCATGCTCATGGATAGGAAGAATCAGTATCGTGAAAATGGCCATACTACCCAAGGTAATTTATAGATTCAATGCCATCCCATACTGCTACCAATGGACTTTCTTCAACAGATTGGAAAACTGCTAAAGTTCATATGGAACACAAAAGAGGCCCGCATGGCAAGACTTCCTAGCCAAAGAAAGTGGAGGCATCACGTACCTGATTTCACTATATAAAAGGCTACAGTAACAAAACAGCATAGTTACTGGGTACCAAACAGAGATAGGACCATGGAACAGAAAGAGGGCCTCAAAATAAACCCACACATCTAAACTCTGATCTTGGCAACCTGCCAAAACAAGAATGGAAAGGATTCACTATTAATAAATGTTGGGGAAAACTAGCTCGCATATGTAGAAAGGTAAAACTGGATCCCTTCCTTACACCTTTGACGAAATTATTCCAAGATGGATTAGAGATTCAAGTTAGACTAAATTATAAAACCTGAAGAAAACCTAGCATACCATCAGAATGGCATGGGGCAAACTTATGTCTAACCACCAAGGCAACAGCACCAAAGCCAAATAGACAAACGGATTCTTAATTAACTAAGGAGGCTTCGGCACAGCAGAAGATTCATCAGAGTGCAGGCATCTACCGAATGGGAGGCATTTTGGCGGCATCTACTATTCTGAAAAGGCTAATATCCCCGACCTCAAAGAACTCAACATTTACAGAAAAAAAACCCATCTAAAAAGTTGCGAGGATATGACATACTGTCTCAAAGACGACATTTTATGCAGCCACAGACACATGAAAAATGGCTCATCATTCCTCACATCGGAAATGGAAATCACCACAGGTACCATCTCATACCAGTTAAAGGTGGATCTTAAAAAGTGCAGGAACAACATGTGGCTGGAGAGGGATGTGGAGAATAGGAACACTTTTGCACTGTTGGGGTGGGTACTGTCATCGCGGACATTGGGGGAAGACAGTGTGGCGATTTCTCAAGGGGATCTAGAACTAGAAATAACCATTTTGCCAGCATCCATTACTGGGTATATACCCAAAGGATTATAAATCATGCTGCTATAAAGACATATGCACACGTATGTTTATTGTGGCACTATTCACAATAGCAAAGACTTGGAACCAACCCAAATGTACATCAGTGACAGACTGGATTAAGAAAATGTGGCACATATATGCCATGGAATACTATGCAACCCTAAAAAAATGACGAGTTCATGTCCTTTGTAGAGACACGGATGCAGCTGGAAACCATCATTCTCAGCAAACTATCGCAATAACAGAAAACCAAACGCTGCATGTTCTCACTCATAGCTGGGAATTGAACAATGAGAACACTTGGACACAGGGTGGGGAGCATCACACACTGGGACCTGTCATTGGGTGGGGTTGGGGGGAGGGATAGCATTAGGAGATATACCTAGTGTAAATGACGAGTTAATGGGTGCAGCACACCAACATGGCACATGTATACATATGTAACAGTATGTATATACATACATATGTTGTGCACATGTACCCTAGAACTTAAAGTGTAATTTTTAAAAAAACTGAGTAATCGAGTGAACAGCTCTCTCACTTTCTCCAGAATACAGAAACAAATCAGTGCATCACCAACACTTGGAAACTCATTAAACAAGTTCTTGTGCCCCACCCCAGGCCTGCTGAATCAAACACTGGGCAGGGGGGGCGGGGGAAGCACCGTGTGATTTCATCAGCTGAACATCTCTTCCTCCTCCACCCTACATTTCCAAATCAAATGGAGTGCTGATTATAATTTCTTGTTCACAGTACTCTTCTGCTTTTGCTTTTGGAGAGTTTGCTAATTCTTCTGGCTCAAAAAATATGGCTAAATATTTCTCTCATCGATTATTTAGAATTAGGTATTGAATGTGTATGCCTTTCTTTGCCATGTTAGCATTTACCTCTATTAATGGTGTCAGTGGTAGCACGAACAAGTAAGTGCAGTGTGATAAATACCCAACATGACTGTTCTGCATCCAAGACCTCATGGGGAAGGAAATAAGAGAGAAGATTCCTTCTTGTCTCTGCTTTCTCCTCATTACATTATCCTTGTATCTTCCCAGAGCTACAATAAAGTTTGAAGTGGAGATAACTGACTGTATTAGCCTTGTTTGGATAGTAACTAGATCGTTTTTCTTCCAGTTATTATTATTTAGCAATAATTTGTACTGTGCTTTTATTCATTCCCTTGAAGCATATCTTTCTATATTTTTTAAGAAATTTGTCTCTAGTCAAAAAAGATTTTAATTTCATAATAGGATTTCAAGTAAAAAATAATCTGAATCCAGAGTTTAAATGTTTCATTTATTATGCTTTATTAGAAGAGACTTGAAGCCATTCTAATATTATTAAAAATGCATTGAAAACGGCATTATTGTTGAATGTACCTTTTTGCTTTTGATTTCAATTCACTGTCACTAATTCTTTCTTTCTTTTTTCTTTTGGCCATTGTTCCAAAAGCTGAGGTCGTTTTTGCAAGTAAGGAAATACAGTTTGGATCTAGCATCTTTGATCCTGTATGCCTATCAGCTTAGTACAGCTCTTGCATATTTAGAGAGCAAAAGATTTGTACACAGGTAAGATACAGTCATAAATCTGTTAAGTTCCCTTCTGAAAAGTAGTGATCAAGAAACAGGGACCCATTTGGACCGTCTTTGGACCCAGGGATCCCTTTGGTACCATTTTGTACCATTTCTACAAAATTGTATTCTGTATATCATTGGAATCTATTGTACACAGTTAATAGCAAGTCATGCTGCATTATGTCCTGTCAGAGTGAGATGCCAGGGCTTGTTAATACACAGTTACAGGATTTTTATACACGTGGAGTTTAAACATTGTGATACTTTCAGGTCACTTATTCCTTACACAAACGCTATAGAGAACCTGTACTTGGCAGCAGAGCAGTGAACATGTGGAAGTAGTCTCTGAAACGAATATTGTCCTGGAACTTCCCGGGACAACACAGCCTTATGAGTGACATCTGTTAGCATTCTGCGGAATTTCTGTTTATAGCCTGAGTCTCTGTTTGAATGCAAGTAAAGACCCTTAAAATTTGTTTGCCAAGTATCATATTAGAGTTGGTGTTTTGTTATCCGGCATTAAAACAAACTTCATCCAAAAAAAAAAAGAAACAAAAACTAAGGCTCTGAAAAAATCAACTCCATCAGCAAAATCATTTAAAAGTTTTCAGAAGGCAACTTTTATCTAATGATGTCCCTTCAGGAATGGGAGTGTTATAGGCCCCAGTTATATATCACTGTCTATCAGTTAATGCAATTGGTAATATGGTTTTATGAACAGTAATAAGGATTTTCATTATTTTAGAATAGACTTTGCCATCATTCAAAATAATCATTTATTAATGGGTAAATATCTGGCAAAAAGAATATATATGAAATAAATTTTGTGTGTGGGTATATATGAGATTTATTGTATATATCCTATAATATCATATAATCTGCTTGCATTGTATATAAGCTGTCTTTCAAAGTGCCTATTGGTATGTCTTTATCTACGAGCTTATGGGTTTGTTTTTCTTATTTTAAGTCTTACTGTCTCAAATTCTTCTTTATCAGGGACATTGCTGCTCGGAATGTTCTGGTGTCCTCAAATGATTGTGTAAAATTAGGAGACTTTGGATTATCCCGATATATGGAAGATAGTACTTACTACAAAGGTAAGAAATCAGAGCAGTACCTAAGAAATAGGCTTGGAATCTTTAACGTATTTCTAAAAACAGTATGTTCTAATACGTTCACCTGATCTTTGACAGAGATATAAAGTTAACTAAATGGAGGAAGCAACAGTCGTCTCAGTAATGGTGCTGGAGCAGTTGGACATCCTTAGGCAAAAAATATACCTCAATTTAAACCTCTGAATCCCATTTCAGATTAACTCAGAGTGGATTATGGACTCAATTACAAAATATTAAACTTTTAGAAAAAAACATAAGAGTAAATATTTGGCATCTAGGCCTAGGCCAGGGATCCTTAGACTTGACACCAGAAACAAGGATTCATAAAAGGAAAAAGTTGATAAACTGAACCTCATAAAAATTATAGATTTTTGTTCTGCCAAAGACCCCATTAAAAGGATGAAAAGAGGAGCTGCAGAGTAGGAGAAGATGTGTGCCAGCCACATATCTGACAAAACTATTATCTAGAATATAAAAGGAACTCTTAAAACGTAGTGAAAAAATGACACAAAGAATGCACTTAGAAATTGGCAAAAAAATAGGAAGGGACATTTCAGTGAAGAGGATATATGGATTGCACATAAGCATGTGAAGATGTAGATGTTCCACATCTGTGTCCATTAGGAAAATGCAAATTCAGAACACAATGAGATTACAGTACATACCTGTCAGTTGTTAAAGAATATGCTGGCGAAGATGCAGAGAAACTAAATTGCTGCTGGGAATGTAAAATGGTAGAGGCATTCTGGAAGAGAGTTTGGCAAATTCTTTAAAAATTAAGCATACAAGTATTATATGACCCAGGAATTGCATGTCTGGACATTTCTTCTGAAGAAATGAAAATTTGTACACAAAACCATACTCAAATGTTCATTGCAGTTGTATCTGTAATAGCCAGAAATTCAAATCAGCTCAAATGTCTTTCAATCAGTAGACACGCCATCATCTTACACCAGATGCAGCTGGTTGTATCGATTGCCTCAGTGAAGGGGATCTGACTTAAAGATACGCAGGCTGCTAACTTCAGCACCTTGGATCCATTAGTTTGGTGGGATTTTTGTTTGTTTGCTTGTTTTGAGACAGGGTCTCGCATTGTTACTCAGGCTGGAGTGCAATGGCGCAAACATTGCTCACTACAGCTTTGACCTCCTGAGCTCAAGAAGCCCATCCACCTTAGCCTCCCAAATTGCTGGTACTACAGGCATGCGTCACCATGCCTGGCTAATTTTTTGTAGAGATGGGGTTTTGCCATGTTGCCTAGGCTGGTCTTTGATCAAACTCCTGGGCTGAAGCTATTCTCCTGCCTCCACCTCACAAAGTGCTGGGATTACAGGCATGAACCATCGGGCCCAGCCTCCATTAGTTTTTTTAACTGAAATCTAGTTTATGTCAGTTGTCTTTAATTTTGCCAATCTTGGAATCACATTGAATTGGTTCTTCAAATTATTACTGAAATAATATTTTTCTGAATAATGTTTTCATATTCCTAGAACTTTAAGGTTTAGATAAATCCATATTGTGCTATTAATACTGCTAATTATGACTACCATTTTACAAAGGCCAATTTCTTAGGGTATTTGATTTTTCTGTTGCAACAAAATGAACCCAGATTTTTACATGCAAAGCTAGTCTCTTATTTTAATCTCATAACTATTTTCTTTCCATATATCGTCTGTATATTATTGCCTGTCACTTTGATTTTTAAAATTCATTTTAAATTTTTATTTTATTTTATTTTGAGACAGAATCTCACTCTGTCGCCCAGTCTGGAGTGCAGTGGCGCTGGCTGGGCTCACTGCAAGCTCCACCTCCTGGGTTCACGCCATTCTCCTGCCTCAGCCTCCCGAGTAGCTGGGACTACAGGCGCCCACCACCACACCTGGCTAATTTTTTGTATTTTTAGTAGGGATGGGGGTTCACCGTGTTAGCCAGGATGGTCTTGATCTCCTGACCTCATGATCCGCCCACCTTGGCCTCCCAAAGTGCTGGAATTACAGACGTGAGCCACTGCACCCGGCCTAATTTTTTAAATTAATTTTTTAAATTAAAATTTTTTTATGACAGGGTCTTGTTCAGTCACCCAGGCTGGAGTGCAGTGGCATGAGCACAAGTCACTGCAGCCTCAGCCTCCTGGGCTCAAGTCATCTTCCTGAGTAGTTGGGACCACAGGCACATGCCACCATGCCCAGCCAATTTTTTTATTTTTTTGTAGAGATTTGGTCTCACTTTGTTGCCTAGGTTAATCTTGAACTCATGGGCTCAAGTGATCTTCCCACCTTGGCCTCCCAAAGTGCTGGGATTACAGGCATGAGCCACTGTGCCCAGCTACCTGTCACTGTTTTTAAATGATCCTTTGATATATGAAAAGAAGATCAGTTGTTTATTCATTATAATTATTTAGTCATTTAACTTAAAAAAGACAAAGTCAGCTTTTCACTATTTTTAAATACATTTTATATCCAGCTTTGATCTTAACTGTCCCAAGTCCTAGAATTCCAATAAAGAGCTAAATTCCAAGTAGTATGATGTCCAAATTTTCGTATCATTCGAACAGCATTTTGAACAGGCAGTTGACAAATTCACACAAATATTTTCTCAGAAAGGTTAATAAGTATACATTCCATTAGGCTATAGAAATAAGTGCAAACTCCAAATAGAGATTCTTCAAAATACTCCTCTTTCTAGGAATTCTAATAGTCTTCAGAGGCAACTCAGTGCTTACAGAAGAAAGTCCAGACCCTTGACATGCTGGCAGAGCCCAGCTGCTCATGCTCCATGCTTTTCTGAATCAGGGTGCTGTTCCTGTGCCCTGCTCCCTTAACCAACCCCTTCTGCTCTTACATCCTCTCCCTGCAGCCTTCCCTGGTCATCCTCTCAGTCACTGTTTCGTCTCCACTTTCAGGACACTTGGCATGCATTCACTATCTCTGTTACACCTTGTACCAAATTTGAGTATACTTCTGTCTGCCTTTTAGAATGAGAATTCTTTGAAGAAAAGGACTCGGGATTGTTCATCTTGGGAACTCAGCAGTTGAGGAAATGTTTACTAAGGTTTTGAGTGACTTCCCTTTGTGGCACAAAGAAAACGTTTAGGTCTGAAAAGGGAGCTGATTTCAGGCTTCCCTAGAGAAGTCCTTCTCAACCCATTGCCCCTTCCTGCTCCTCACATGCCTGATTATTTGTGGAGTCTGCGTTGGTGCATTCACCTAGTGGCTAACATACGTTTGTAATTCCCAAAATCAATACTCAAGGTGCTTTCATAGTCATTTGAGGACATGCACAGAGCAACAAAAAAATTGAGTATTCCCTAATACTGAAATATGCAGCTGAGGTTCAGCAAGGCCGCAGTCTCTCCCTTCTGTCGCAGCCAGAGGTGGGAAGACAGGGTCAGGGCTGGGAGGGAACGGCACAGGGCAGAGCCAGCAGCTCAGGCTCTGGTGGTTGGAGAGGTTTGAATCCCAACTCTGGTACCTGTTAGTGGGGCAGTCTTGGGCAAGTCACTTAACACATCTGAGCGTCCTTTTCTAAAGGAGATATAACCTACCAGAATGAGTTGTTTGATGAGTTAAGATTGTAATCTATGTGAGATACGAATGTATGTGTACATATTTCTCCTGAGAGCAGTGGTTCTGTGTTTGCAACAACTTTATATAACATTAACTACCACCAGTGAGGATCGACTATATATTATTTATTATTAGCAGGATATGTGTATAGCAAGCATTCTAAGCTACAGATAAGTATCTCTTCTGTAAATTGTGGAATCTTACATAATGGAGTTGCACCTAATACCTGCACCTAAACCCCTGGTAAACTGGGGTTTGCTCTCCCTCCCTGTTCTTTGCCTCTCTGTAGAGAGAAGGACATTAGTATTTTATTTATCTACCATCTAACCATTCCTCACCCCTAAGTGACCTCAAAACATAAAGGAAATGAAAAGTAGTTCTTCCAAAGAAATGGAAGATTCAAGGGGTCAAATAGTTAAAGCTTTTTCCTTTGATACTGAAAATCTCAACTTGCTCTGTTAGATTCTTAAGCAGATAGCAAGGAAAATTTATTTTCTCAAATTAATCTTCTAGCTTCCAAAGGAAAATTGCCTATTAAATGGATGGCTCCAGAGTCAATCAATTTTCGACGTTTTACCTCAGCTAGTGACGTATGGATGTTTGGTGAGTATTCTTAAAAGTTTTGTATTATTTAAAAATTATATTTCATATGTTATACAAAAAAAAAATCTCTCTTTGGAATATGTAGGTTGATTTGCCTTCCCTAACCTGATCATCTCCTCATCAGACTTCTTTTGATTAAATTGACAATAAATAGCCTGGCATCTACTGTGCATCAGCTTCTGGGCACAGCTTCCATAAGGGTCCACAGTTCTGATTGCCCAGCTCCTTCCATCACTCTTCCTTTCTGTTCCCCTTTGCTGTCTCTTCTTTCCTCACAGGGGGATATTTTGCTCATTTCCTTCTTTCTTTTCTCTCTCTCCCTTTGCCGTCTAATTCATTATTTTCATATGAATGACATTAAACAGTAAACACCTGGCCCCTCCAACCCTGAGTATCTAAAATTCTACCTTATCTCTTTATTCTGGGGTCCAAGCTCCTTCCTAACCTATCTCAAGACTTGGAAGTTTGATCCTTTGTTTTCTGTAGCTTCTGCTTTTTTGATAATCTCATTTGTTCTTCCTCACCTGCTGTAAGGTCATCATTCTCCTGCTCTGTGGTTATTGAAATTCCTTCTAGCTGGTGTAAAAGTGTGGCTCTCATTTATTCTTTGCTACTTATTTAAAATACTTTATCCAAATTTTAAAATTACTCACTATTTTTAACATGAATGGCTCTTCCCTCGACCCCACTCTTCATTTTTCTTGGTGTTATTCCTTCTACCCAGAATGCCTTATCCTTATACCTTCTTCTTCCAGTTGAAATCCTACCTAACCCTCAAGGTCCACCTTAAATGTCCTTGAAGCATTCCTCTTCCTTTCTGTACATTTCCTACACTTTCTCTCTTTGTCATAACACTCATGTTGATTCTGTGAATAGACTTGTGGACATGTTATCTCTGCTAAATTAGAAACTACTTTGGAGGAGATGCCCTGTTAAGATTATGTACCTTTTTTCCTCTTATAAATAAAAATAACTGATCAAGTATGTGTTCTTATGTTTTTTCTTCTGTTTACTTACTGTTGATTCTTAATCATCGTTTAATGTCCCAATAGATAACTAGGTGAAGGAAGGAACTTTCAAATAGAACAGGATATGGCATGACATGATTAGAAAAAGCTCTGAAGTCCAATTGATGTGGTTCAAATCCCAAGGCCTTGATTATTAGCTGTGTAATCCACAGAGCAAGTAACTTACCTTTTCAGAGAAATTTCATGTTTCAAAACTTCTAAGATGCCTGTTTTTTTACATGTTAACATTTCTAGAACTGGAGTGTATCTTAAAATCAGTGGCATTTTACAGTCGGTAATAATTGGAGGCATTTTTTAATGTAGTTATACTTGCTTTCATTCATGTGGACTTTGTTTTGTTAATATTGTTACTGTAGTGTCTGAATGACTTTGAAAGAGCTCTTTTGGTAAGAATAAAATAAAAATTCTAAGAGGGAAGAAGGAATTGTATCACACTTTAGTTTTCAACATTATTCTCCCTTTTTTGGTCATATAAACTAATGATGTTTCCTATAATCAGTGGATGTGATTTTTGTCAAATGTGATATAATGCAGTATTTAAAGAAACATAACATAAGGTTATTGTGAGGATTAAGGGTAAGATATGAGGCTGGGCATGGTGGCTTATGCCTGTAATTCTAGTACTTTGGGAGGCCAAGGAGGAAGGATCACTTTTAACCCAGGAGTTCAAGACCAGCCTAGGCAACATAGCAAGACCCCATCTCTACAAAAAATACAAAAATTAGCTGGTTTGGGTTGCGTGTGCCAATAGTTTCAGCTACTCAGGAGGCTGAGGTGGGAGCATCACTTGAACCTGGAAAGTGGAGGCTGCAGTGAGCTGTGATGGAGACTTTGTCTCAAAAATATATGTATTTGTAAAATGTCTAAGAAGTGTGTCAGGAACACATTAAGTTCTCCAGAAGTGATACACAGTGTTGCTACTACTGATGATATTGTTGTAACTTCTTGTGAGAAAAGCAGTACTAAGGCATTATGTTTGTCAGGTACTCTTTACATTGAAATTCTTGGATTCCTGGCTAAGTTCAGAATCTAATTCACATCAAGATGGTAATATGCCTTGCTTCCTTTGAGGCAGATTTCACTCTATGTTCTAAAGATGCAAAAATAAAGTCACAGTTCCTTTCTTCAAGGCATCAGTTGTACATTGTTTTGTGATAGAAGTAGATTTGAAACGACAGAAACTTTTCCCAGAGGAAAAGCATTATAAAGAACTACATTACAAATGTACCTACAAGGAAGAGAGCTTGTGAGGAAGGTAAAGGGATGTTTTTGGTGTGTTCCACAGGTAGCAAGAAGCCCAGAATAACCAAGTGCAGAGCAGTGATGATAAGGCACTAGGAGAAAACATCCGCCCTTTACACCACCAGTTCTCTCCATTTCCTTTCCATTGGCATTGTATGTTCATTGCCAGTTTTAGGTTTCTTGTTTGTTTTAAAGGTGAATTTTTAAATTTTTTTTTAAATTTTAGATTCAGAGGGTCCATGTGCAGGTTTGTTACATGGATATGTTGCACAGTCCTAAGGTTTGGGCTTCAGTGGAACCTATCACCCAAATAGTGAACATAGTACCCAATGGGTAGTTTTTCAACCATTACCGACCTCGTTCCCCCCCTGCTCTTTTATTCCCCAGTGTCTGTTGTTTCCGTCTTCATGTCCATATGTATCCAGTGTTTAGCTCCCTCTTATAAGTGAGAACATGCAGTGTTTGGCTTTCTGTTTCTGTATTAATTCACTTTGGATACATGACTTTCAGTTGTTTCTGTGGTGCTGCAAAGGCCATGGTTTCATTCTTTTATGTCTGCATAGTATTACATGGCATGTATGTACTACATTTTCTTTATCCCATCCTAAAGGTGAATTTTTAAGGATTATTCAGAAGATACTGAGAAAGTATTGGATTTCCCAAGGGTAGAATGCAAGTAAACTTTTTGCGGTCACACTGTGGCATTTATAGACAAGATGACTTGAAGCCCAAAGAAGTTCACATCTTTCCTGGGGGAAAACAGTGACCAGTCCATGAATCAACCAGATAATGACGCCTTTATGCACTCTAGATAAGAAGAGGCCAACCTTGTTAAGGGAAACTTTTTAAGGAATCTTAGTTTTCCAAAAGCATAAGACTTACACTAGTATTTTCTTTATTGGACCTCAGGTCAGCCGCTCTAATTATAAACAGGTGAGACTGAAGTGGGGCAGATTAAAATTCAGCGTTTCCTGAACTAGTTCATTAAGCCACGAAGTACCACTGTAGCTAGTGGGCAATTTTCTAATAGTGTTTTTCTAGAGAAATAAACTGAGAAAAATTATAGCATTTTCCTTGATAATAATTTAACATTTCATTATTTACATCATATTAAATCATTAGGTTATTCTTATTTTATACTAGAGTGAATATAATGCTGCTTTGGTAGATAACTTGCCCATTACCTCCCAGCTGGTACTCTAGTGCCTAGAAAAACGATTTTCTTGGAACCTGGGAGTTACATTCTTCATACTGAGCTCACTGTTGTGTTTTCATTCCCACTTGACAGGTGTGTGTATGTGGGAGATACTGATGCATGGTGTGAAGCCTTTTCAAGGAGTGAAGAACAATGATGTAATCGGTCGAATTGAAAATGGGGAAAGATTACCAATGCCTCCAAATTGTCCTCCTACCCTCTACAGCCTTATGACGAAATGCTGGGCCTATGACCCCAGCAGGCGGCCCAGGTTTACTGAACTTAAAGCTCAGCTCAGGTAGGAGTTGGCGGGAGAGAGGGCCTGGGGGTGGGGGCAGATTATGCTGCTTCTCCTCCTTGCAGTAATAGCATTTTAAGGTCATTATATCAGTATGTCTAAGGCCGAACTATTTTTCATTCAAATGCAATTACTTCTAAAATTGATTTGCATTTCTTTTTACCTTGCTAGAGTCTTAAGTAAATTATATCTTTAAAATTTTAATAAAGCTCCAATTATGGTCAAATCTCTCTCCCCTAGCTTCTGACTTAGCATGGCTTGCAAGATCCATAATAACATAGTCCCTAGTTACCTCACTCATCTCATCTAACACAACCCTCTATCTCTGTCTCCCTCACACTTTATGATCCAGCAATACCTACTTATAATTCTCGTAACACAGCTCACTGCCTTTTCACATGCTGTCTTCACTCCCAGAAATCCCTTTCCTGACCTTGGCCACCTGTAAACTTTTATTCAGTTTTCAGAACCCAGCTCAGATGTTACCTGCTTCAGGAGGCCTTCCTAATCATCCCTGCCCCGAAAGAGATAGTTATTCCTTTGGCACCTTTTGAATACTTCTGTTTTTATATTTAAAACATCCATTGCTTGTTCAGGTGCCGTTTTGTGGCTCCTACTTTGTGCCAGGTACTGTTAAACCCCTGGAGGAAGCACGCAGGGACATTAGTGTGCTGAATCCCTCAGAGAAGCATATGCATACTCTACCCTGTTGCCTGGCCTGGAGAGGTTCTTGTTTGCTTGTCTGTGTCCCCAGCTATACTCAGAGCTCTTGACGGGCATCATTGTGTCTTACTGATTTCTGTAGCCGCAGTGCCAAGCATAGGATCTGGCACCATATAAGTGCTCAATAAACATTTGTTGAATTGAATTGAATTGGAGTCTAGAATGAGACTTAATACTGTAATAAACAAGATATTGTAATATAACACATAGGCATGAGAAGCTTTATTATATAAACAATACCATGGTTCAATGTGTGCTGTGTTACCTGTTTTCACACTTGGGGACTTCCTCGATTTTACGTGAGTGTTTATGGGTTTGTTTTTCATGCTGTATTTTAGTCTTTTTCCTAAAAATCATCAACTACAGCGTCCAGGCTTTCACCATCTAGCCCAGCCTTCTCTCCACATGTTCAAGCTGTTCAACCTGCTAGACAGGATTCCTTTTAAGGAGAATATTTCAAAGAAGAATTACGACCCATAGATAGAAGCACAAAGGATTCATCCAGTCTGAAAATGTTTGCTAAGCACCTTTGTTATTCTAAGCTAGGTTCTGTGGGTTCAGCAGTGAACAAGACCCAATCCCTGCCCCCAGAGAGTTTAAAGTCTGGTGGAGGAGACCGAGGTATCACCGGTTATTACAATACAGTGAGCACCACATCAGAAAGACCAGCCACACTCTTGGTCTCCGTCCCCATAACTCTCACGCGCTGGCCTGGTTCTACTTTTCAAGGCCCCATAGAACAACCCTACTCTGCCTTTCACACGATAGGCCTTCAGGGTAATTCTAAACAGCTTCCTTACCTCCTCTTAGCTTCTTCTAGCCAAAAATCTTCAGTTCCTTAATTAATTCTCATATAACTTAACTGCCTATTCTCTCACTTTTACAGCTGGTTTTTGGACATGCTTTATTGCATGTTTTGCTCCTATTTGTTCCTCCTTGATCCTTCCTCAGGATTTGACAGTTTCTGTCCTTGACATTGTTCCTCTCTGATACCAGTTCTATCACCCTACCTCCCTGGCATCTCTTTCTACCTCACTGACTTGCCATCTCTCCACCATTACTATGAGTATTAACTGAATTTCTGTTCTCAGCCTCTTACTTTCTCCCATTTTCTCTCATTACTCTTCCTGGATGTCTGACCCATTCACACGGCTTTGCTTCTCACCTCTCTCTGTCTGTAGTTCTGGTCCTGCCCTTTTCTCAAGTCCCAAACTTACATTTTAAATTGCTGGCTGGGCATCATGTTTATCCAGAAAGCAAAGCTGTTACATTCTCCTCTAAGCCAGCCCTTCCTCCTCACTTCCTCCAGGTTGGAATAGTGCCTTTATCTTCGACACCATCTTGGAGTCATGCTTCACTCCTTGTGCACAACCCCCATCCTCCATCCCGCGCTCTTCTCCCGTCTGTCTGGCATGACCAGCTTAGTCAATCTTCCTGAACTGTCACTGGAAAAATAACTCCTCTGGTCAAAACAACTTTCAGTGGGGTTTTGTCACCTTTCATGTTTGGTTAAAGGCTTCCACGGTAGCATTTAGGCCTCATTACATTATGGCCTGAGATTGTCTTCCCATCCCTTTCACACATGGTAGCTAAACTAACCCTCCTCTCAGCCCAGAATGCCTCCTCCTTCACTTGGGGACATCCTACCCATCTTTCTCGGCTTCTTTCATGCACTGAGTCTTCTGTGACTTCACAGCTGACTAGCCTCCACCCTCTGAGTCTCCAAAGCTCTTTGTTCTTATCAGGCTTACCCTATGCTGCCGTAGATGGCTGCAACCCGTGTTCAATTCAGTTTGATAAACACTGTTGAGCACCTACAGTAGCTGAACCTGGTGCTAGTCACTGGGGCAAAGATGACTAAAACACTTTTCCTGCCCTCGAGGAGCTCACAGTCTAGTATGTCTCATCCCCTACTAGACTGAAGCTCCTTGAGGACAGGGATGGTCATACTCACCTCGGTGTTGCCTGAACCTCCAGGCCAGGAACCTAGCTAGCTAGATACAGAAAGGGTCACCCAGGCACTGAGTTCAAGGCTTAGAACATATGAGTGATTCTTAACATTAAGGAATGCTCCACTGAGGTAAATTATCTCCAAAAAGTATCCAATACATATTTTTAGAACTACATATAATTACTTTAAATATGTACCTGTAGTATAATTTATGGATATCTTCTTATATACTACTAGCACAGGTAATTCAGCATTCATTCATTCTGCGTTGTTCTGTTTTAGAAATGGTGTTTAACTTTGCATTTTGAACATATATAATTGGGCTACCAAATAGTCCACCATTTTATATTATAAAATGTAACTATATAATATAATTGCTTACTTGAACATTTACATATAACAGTATATCACAATAACTAAATAGGTTACTAATTTTTTCAAAATTTTTATTATTTCCAGGATTTTAACAAAAAATAACTTTGGATAGCCCTTTGGTAGTTAAAAACCATGGTAGTTAAAAATGTTTCCCAAATCCCATTCTTCTTCTTGACCCCGAAAGAATTCTCCTTCCCTAGCTCGAAAGAATATTTGCAAGTAGACTCAAATTACTGTGGGATTCCCCTTATCTTTAACTGGAGTGTATGTGTGTGTATTTTATTTTGTTGAGGCGGGATCTCCTCTGTTGCCCAGGCTGGAGTGCAGTGGCACCATCTCCGCTGCCTGCAGCCTCCACCTCCCATGCTCAAGTGATTCTCCCACCTTAGCTCCCGAGTAGCTCAGACTACAGGCATGCACACCACACCACCACACCCAGCTAATTTTTTGTATTTTTGGTAGAGATGGGGTTTCGCCATGTTGCCCAGGCTGGTCTCAAACTTCTGAGCTCAAGCAGTCCGCCCACCTTGGCCTTTCAAAGTGCTGAGATTGCAGGCATGAGCCACCATGCCCAGCCTTGTATATTTGTTTTTGACTATATTAGTTGAGAAGTGATTTTTGGTACGGAACCTTTTGGGCAAACTCATAGGAAAATCACCTTGGTCATACTTTGATGAGGTGATGTCTATGACTCAAGAAACCTGTCCTTCCTACATCCTGTTTATTCATAGGTATTAATTCATTGAGAAGTAGAATGAAATTAACCTGCAAGTGGTCTGTTATCAAGTATAAAAAATTCCTCAATAGGAATACCTTTAATTGATCAATACTGACATTTTCTTATAATGCATTCTTTAGCATTTTTGTGCTTTATGACTGTCAGGTTATAAGAGCGCACTAAGTATTTTTTGAGTGAGCGCACTAAGTATTTTTTGCCTGGGCGCGGTGGCTCACTCCTGTAATCCCAGCACTTTGGGAGGCCAAGGCGGGCAGATCACCTGAGGTCAGGAGTTGGAGACAAGCCTGGCCAACATGGTGAAACCCTGTCTCTACTAAAAATACAAAAATTAGCCGGGTGTGGTGGCAGGTACCTGTGATCCCAGCTACTCAAGAGGCTGAGGCAAGAGAATCGCTTGAACCTGGGAGGCAGAGGTTGCAGTGAGCTGAGATCGCGCCATTGCACTCCAGCCTGGGAGACAAGAGCTAGACTTTGTCTCAAAAAAAAAAAAGAAAGGCATTTAACTGCTGATTAATTCAGTTAATTCTTTGTGAGGTACTATGACAGGGAAACCATAATAAACAGCTTTAGTGTTTGCCTTTTTGCAGGTATGTTCAAAAATAATATGTCCCAACAGTACTCTTCTTGACTAAGGTGTTGGTACCACTATTTTAAAAAAGAACATCAGCTTTATCTCAGATTAGAAAAATATTTTAGGTTAATATTAAAATTCTTAAATATATTTTAGGCAAATTAGGGCAGTAAACAAAATTATCACTTTAAAATTTTGTGCTATGATTTTTGTATATTTTAAAACTTTTTATTGGTGTTTAATAAACACACCAAGAAGTGACAGTTTACTGGATTTCCACCAGTTGGATACAGTGTGTCACCAGCATCCAAAATGAAAGTACTACCAGCATCCCAGAAATCTTCCACATGCCCCTTTCCAATCACTGTTCACCCTCCATGGGTAACCTCTATCTTGACTATAGATTGGTTCTGCTTGTTTTTGAACATGATGTAAATGGTATCAGTCAGTACTTACTTCATATATATATAATTTATTTTACTCAACAGTTTGTGGGATTAATCCATATTATTCATGTAGTTATACTCAATTCTCATTGTTGCATAGTGTTCCATTTGTGAATATACTATAGTTCATTCCACTGTTGGTGAAAATTTGTATACTTCTAATTTGGGGCTCTCAAGAATATTGCTCTGTAAATT